TCAGCTTTCCTGCTCCTCTGATGCTGCTTGGCCTGCTGGGTTCATTCAGCACTACACCTTGTTATAGATGAAAAAGATGTGTTTTTTTTTTGTTGGCCATATTTCGATAGAATTGATTACCTATTTCTTTGCAATTTAAACAGGTCCAGGAAATTGTTGATTTTGAGAAGCTGGGTGAATATACAGCTGCTTTTCAAGGCCATGATGTCGGGTTCTGCTGTTTAGGGACAACCCTGGCCAAATCTGGGGCGGTAAAGAGAAGTATTCCTTATTTGCTTTACAATATCCTTCAGTGAATGTAATCCAACTGCATGAACATGCAACCTGCTAGGGAACAGGGTAACTGCGGAGAGCTCATTGTCCAAGATGGCAGCAGCAGAGTAGGTAGCGTGTGGGCTCCAGAGCCTGGGACCCGTCCACTCCATCCGCTTTACTTTTCCTTTCCTTCAGTTTTTTATTTATCTTTTTACTCTTTAATGTCACTTACCTTCGGCATTGATGGTGAGGTGGGTCCAGTGCGGACTGTTGGCGGCGGTGGCAGGGGTGAGTTTTTTGGGTTTCTGGCAGTGGCGGTGGTGGCAGAGGCGAGTTAGGGCCGAGTCCTGGACCCAGTGGCATCAGTGGCGGCTGCATCATCCAGGTTGGACCACAGTGAAGACTCCGGTCAGTAGCAGCAGCAGGTCGAATTTGGGCCTGGCGACAGCGAGGTTGGCCGAGTAAGAATGGACGCCAAAGAATGGCGACTGTATTCCAGTGGCACGATGAAGGAATTTGAGGTTGGTCAACTGTTTTGTGTTAATAAAGGTCTCAGCATTGGGCTGGAGGAGCCTAGATCCTGGCCCATGACTAAACACTTAACAGGAAGGACTGTAGATTTGAACATTTCTTTATTTTCTGCCTTTGCACTCAATGTTGTGATTTATTTTCTGCGTTTCAAGGTGGTGCTGGAGAGTGGCATGAGTTTTAACTGGTAACACGATACATGTGACAATAAATACTCCTGTTTATGGGAGAGTGTAGAACCAGACAGCATTGCCTCAGAATAAGGGGTTGCTCATTTAAGGTAGAGATGAGGAAGAATGTCTTCGCTCAGAGGGTAGCTAATCTATGGCATTCTTTGACATAGAGGGTTACAGAGGTTGGGTCATTCAGGGCTGAGATAAACAGATTTTTGAGCAGTAAGGGAATCAAGGGTTATGGGGAGAAGGCAGGAGTGAAGTTGAGGATGATCAGATCAGCTGTGATCTCATTCAGCGACGGAGCAGATTTGATGGGCTGAATGATGGCCTACTTCTTCTATGCCTTACGGTTTGATCTATTATTAGTGACTGCAGCATGAAATTGTGACTTATTTTTACATAAACATTTAAGTAACCTACCACCTGTTGATGGCTGGCGGCAGTACGGGCTCAGGAGTATCTGGTATACTCTGATATCTGACTATTGGCTGTTCCTCATGAATGAGGCTTTCACAGCAACGAGTTACAGACTCCCAGCCTGGTCATTTCATTAACCAGTGCCAAGGCAGACCAAGTTCTGACCCTAGTTGCCAAATGGCTGTCAGCACTAACAACCCGCGTTTATATAACACCTTCGATGTTGTAAAATGCCCAGGGAACGTTAGCAATCAAAGATTGACTTGATAACTAAGCCACATGAGATATTGAATTTTATTAAATTAGCTTTATTGTCACATATTCACATGAGTACAGTGAAAAGTTTACAAGTCGTCACTTACAGCATGTTCCTAGGTACAGATCCTTGAATACAAATTCTTAGGAAAAAAATTAGAAATAAATAACAAGTCCAGCATTACAGGCCTTGAAAAGTACAAAATCATAGTAGCACATTAGAAAAATAAAGTCTGGAATAACAGTCCTTTCACAATATTATAATAAAAGATTAAGATGGATGACCAAACAATTAGACTGAGTGGCAGGTTCTAAGGAGCGTCTTAAAGGAGGCAAACGATGTGGAGAGATTTGGATAGAGAATTCCACACCTAGGGCTCTGGCGGCTGAAGGGGTATTCCCAAAGCCTGGGTGCTCAGCTCTCACTGAGCTCGGCCTGTCAGCTGCAAACCTGACTGAAATGGGAAGAATTTGCTTCATTCGTTTCCAGTTTGAACAATGGCTCGGTGGACTCTAAAGGACCTCTCTTGACCTGTGGGATTTCAGGGCTGGGAGCATGTGCTGAACAGATCTGTTTTAATACTCAACGAATGAAATATTGATACGCTTCAGTGACCGATTATTCTGGGACATTGAGGTCCTGTTTTCTTTAGGGTGGAGGGTATGTTACTATTGTATTCCTCCTGTACCATGGTTCAAGGAGGCAGCTCACCCCTGCCTCTTCAAGGGCAACTGGGCCAGTGACGCTAATATCCCAAGTATGAATAAAAGAAAACTCTAATCTAAATTGCATCTCAACTCCTGCCAGTTCAGAAGCAGTGTAATACTCACACAAAGAGGCTTTTCTACACTTTGAAGGATAAGCATATTTAATCAGGTATTGGGATAAAGATTAAATATGAAATCTACTAAATGGTTTTGAAGGAATTAGTTAGTCACTTTGAAGAATTGATGTATTCATTAGAGTTGCCGTTATTTAGATTTAGATTTTATTTTCACGTGTACTCAAGCACAGGAGTACATTGAAAAGTGTCCAATGTTGCCATACATAGCACCATCTCAGGTACAAAGGTACCTAGATACAAAAAACTCAGGTACAAAGTAGTAAAAGTGACAAAGTTAAAAAGATAAGCATTACCTTCATAGAATAAGTAGAAAAATAAAGAAGTTAGGTAATAGTTAGCATTAAAGTCCTTTGTCATATAAACTGGAAAAATAAAGGAATAATGTTAAAAGTTCAACAGTTTTTGATGTGTGCTTGCTGGGCCCCCAGTCTCCTCTGTTTAGCTCACTCTCCTGGAAACATCCGCTACCTGTTCTCACAACCACCGCAGATACCAGGGGCACCTCCCCCCACCACTCGTCCTTCTCGTGGGTGGTTGGAGTGTGGGGGTGCTGGGGCCAGTGATTATTGTGAGTTTTCTTTTTGTTCACAGCAATCTTCCAGAGCCCAGAGTAATTGACCGCACGAGTGCCGCTGTGATAAATGATGTGCAGGTCAGGTGGATTGGCCATGGTAAACGTGGGGTTACGGGGATAGGGTGGGAGAGCTGGGTCTGGGTGGGATGCTCTTCAGAGGGTCAATGTGAACCCGATGGGCTGAATGGCCTCTTTCCACACTGTGGGATTCTATGATTTTATCTAACTCATCAAGGCACTGCACAACTGGATGGAGGTTTGATGCCAGTAAATAGTACCTGGGAGTACTTTGGAGCCTGAGTGGCCTCTTTCTGCGGTGTAGGGTATCTATGATTCTGTTAAATGGATGACCTTATAAAGGCTGTTCCCATTAGCAGTTGACCAGGTTAAAGCTGTAATCCTCCTGGTCTTTATGGCTGTGTGCCATGCAGCATGGTATGCCCATTCTTGCTGTTAATGCGTAGAAATTTATAGCCCAAAAACTGGCCATTCTGCCCAGCTGGTCTGTGCCAGTATTTAGGCCTCCCATTCTAATTCACCACAGCATATCTGATTGATCTCATAATCCTGTCTCTGGCACGTACGTATCGAGTTCAAAAGCTTCTGTCTGTCAGACACGTTCCTTGAGAACAAAGTTTTAATTGCTGTGGATTTAGTTTGCGGAATAACCCTTTACATTCCACTCAGTAGTTTGTGACCCCAAAGGGTATTCAGCAAGGGTGCACCAATTAAGTCAAACTGAAAGATGAGCATCCCTTAAAGGAAATCTGGAACAAGTGTTAAATAATCAAAGCAAAATTAAAATTAAGCTCAAAGGTCACTGTGGTTGGAGATGAGGCACTCTCACCCCCAGTGGTGACCACCATTCGATGAGAACCACAAGCATGTCAGCAGATATCGTGTGTTCACTCTCCAAGGATACCGGAGTGTAGATGTAACCACCAAAGAGAAGAGGGCAGTTGGTCTAATGAGCCCCATCGACCCCGCCAACCTCCCACACCCACCCCCACACACACACACACGGCTGAAGCGCAGACATTTGAGGAGAAGCCCCTTCAAGAAATGAAACAAGCAACTTTAACACTTTGTGTGCCTGTGGACAACGCATTCTAAGTTGGTCCCACATGAGCTGGTAGCCTGGATTCTTCCCAACGGGAAGATGGCGTTTCTAAATGGTACCAATCCATTCTGAGACAGTCTCTGACAATGTTCCCTTTAGGCTGAGGCCTCAGCACAGGCCATTCAAGGACTGGATCCTTTAAAATACTGCCTGTCTGCTGCTGCTCAAAATATTTAAAGGTGGCCACACCCCTAAATAAATCACCTACAAAGAAACCGAAGGGAATATTGATCTTTGCTCACAGCATTGACGTGTTGGATGTCGATAAACTTACAACATTTTCACCATTTCTATTTTTACTTGATTTGCGTTGAGAAATTTTAAAGTAAAATCCCTTCATATCCTTAAGAATAAATTGCATTTTTAAAAGTCTTTCGAAGCCTTTAAAAGTGTCCCTTGAGGTGTAATTGCCATGGATGAGTGCATCTTAATTTTATTTGAGCCATTCTCTTTATTGAGATTCACATCTATAAAGTTGTGTTTGTAGTCACCTAGGGAACCTCACGCAAATTCCTTTCTTTTCTGGTGGATGAAAATTTCAGGATTAAGTCCACTGGCTGCTAATAGGACAATATTTTGCTTTGTTTGGGACAGATTCATCAAAAGAAACAGAAAGGCAACTTGTCAACTAGAAGCTATTGAGAGGGGATGATGGTTGAGCGTGGGTCTAAGAAGTGGTGGCGTGGGCTCTTGTTCACAGGCAAGGGTTTGCTCCTTGTTGTTAGGAGCACTTCTGCATAAGGGACGCCAGCGTCTGTTTCTGGGCTCGCATTGATGTGGTGTATCAGTAATCGGATTTAAAGAGAGCTCCAGTATATATGTCAGTTCAGATTTCATCAAGTGACCATTGAAGGGCTGCTGCAAACTAAACTCTGTTTTAGAACATTGACCAAGAACTAAGGGCAGAGAAATTGCGCATCATTCAATTCAAGCGTTGGAGGTGTCGAATAATTGACTTGTATTTCGACACTCTCGAGGCTGTTAAGTTCTGCTTGGGTCTGTTTGTCTAAAGCCTTTAAAGTAAGCCTTTGGTGTGTGGAGTTGGGGAAAGAGTGAATTGAAATCAAATGTACCAAATGCTATTCAGTATTTCGATCGTGGCACACAGTAAAGAAAGTGGCTATAAAATCAGTGTGGGAGGTCACTCACTACATCTATTTGTTTTAAAATATCCCAATTGAAATGTAGTTTCAGCAACAGAACAGTTATGGTCTTGATTTTTCATAATGGGCTACTGTCACAGAACTTCAAGCATTTTTATTTAGTCCTCCTTAGTGCATTTTCTCAATTTTCCTAGTCACAAAGACACTAAAGCACTTAAAAGTGGAAATAAAAAAAAACCTGACACCAATCTTTAATGATAAACTTTCATGTATCATCCTTTTTGGAAAACTTGATCATCTGTTTAATAACGAAGGATATCTATTAATTATGCTGTCTGGATCCTGTGATTAGAAAGTGAGGAAATTTTGCTGTTTCAAATCCTGTTGTTTGGAACTGCACTGTTTTTGATTATTTGTTCCTAAAGTTTGTTATTTGTATCTCTTTGACATTTTTTTAAAATTGACATCACCGGAAGTCAACCATATGTTATTAGTTAATGTGGGAAGTTATCATTAGAATTAAATCAAAATACTCCAGATGCTAGGAATCTGAAACCAACACAGAAAACACTGGAGAAACTCAGCAGGTCTGGCAGCATCTGTGGAGAGAGAAACACAGTTAACATTTTGACTCTGGTATGACTCTCCTTTAACTATCCTCTACATTGTTGGTCAATGTTCCCCCCCACCACCCCACTGCCTCCAAACCAGATTTTAGTTTCCAATAGCTCAAATAAAAGCAAAATACTTTAGAGGAGGCAATGGCCTAGTGGTATTATTGCTGGAATGTTAACCCAGATAATGTTCTGGGGACCCGGGTTTGATTTCCACCACCGCAGTTGGTGGAATTTGAGTTCAGAAATATCTGGAATTAAGAGTCTAATGACGATCATGAATCCATTGCCGGTTGTTGGAAAAACCCATCTGGTTCACTAATGTCCTTCAGAGAAGGAAGCTGCTATCCTTACCTGGTCTGGCCTACATTTGACTCCAGATCCACAGCAATGTGGCTGACTCTGAACTGCCTTCTGGGCAATTAGGGAGGGGCAATAAATTCTGGCCAACCAGTCACACCCTCATCCTGTGAATGAATTAAAAAAAAAGTGGATGCTGGAAATCTGAAACAAACAAAGTGGTTGCTGGAGAAAGTCAGCAGGTCTGGCAGCCTCTGTGGAGAGAGAAACTGTGTTAACATTTTGAGTTGGATATAGCTCTTCTTCAGAACTCATCGTTCTGAACTGAATTCATCTCTGTCTGTCCAACTTCCTTTAAAACCAGCATCTTCAACCAAGTTTTTTTTTGTCATCATCCAATTATTGCCTGATTCTGCTCTGTTTTCATTTCATGATCAAGCTGCTGTGAAGTGACGTGGGGTGCCAAAAATACTGTGTAAATGCAAAAATATTGAAAATAAAAGCAAGACACATCAGAGACAGCAGCAGTGTAATGAAACATTGAGGAAAGCTGTAGTCTTGTGACAATACAGATTGCAGTTCTGTTTCAATTTCAGACTCTACAGAATGCCTCTTTCCCTTGTACCACAGGAGGGCTTCTTTCGAGTGGATCATGATTATATATTGAAGTCAGCTCAATTCGCAAAAGCTGGAGGGTGTACTCACTTTAACTTGGAGTCTTCAAAAGGAGCAGATAAGAACAGTTCCATTCTATATACAAAAACTAAGGTTGGAAAATTTTGAATGTAATTTTACTTCAAAGTGAGTCTGTTAATTCTGCCCAGGAGCAGTCTTGCTGACCATGTAGATACACCCTGTCCTTTCAGTACAGTGACACACTAAGTTATTAGATTACATTGCCTTAGGGTTATATTTGGCAGTTTTGACTTAGTGTGCCAAAGCACTATTAAAGACAGATTGAATTAGAAAACTAGGGTCAAAATATAACAAAGATAGTAGGAACTGCCGATGCTGGAGAATCTGAGATAACACGGTGTAGAGCTGGATGAACACAGCAGGCCAAGCAGCATCAGAGGAGCAGGAAAGCTGACGTTTCAGGTTGAGACCCTTCTTCAGAAAAATGAAGAAGTGTCTCGACCCGAAACATCAGCTTTCCTGCTCCTCTGATGCTGCTTGGCCTGCTGTGTTCATCCAGCTCTACACCGTGTTATCTCAAAATATAACAAATTGTGCCGCTAAGCACTTCCAGTGTTTGACTGAATTATAAAAGTTAACATCCCTATTTTTGTGAATCGTTCTAGCTTTGTAACTGAGCTGGGTGGCATGGTGGCTCAGTGGTTAACACTGCCGCCTAGGGACCCAGGTTTGATTCCAGACTTGGGTGACTGGCTGTGTAGAGTTTGCACGTTCTCCCTGTATCTGTGTGGGTTTCCTCTGGGTTCTCCAGTTTCCTGTCTCAGTCCAAAGATGTGCAGACTAGTTGTTATAGCCATTGTAAATGCAGAATTACAGGGACAGGGTAGAGTGCTGGGTCTGGGTGGGAAACTTCTTGCTGGATTGGTGAGGGCTTGATGTGCCAAATGGCCTCTTTTTGCACTGGATGGATTCTATGATTTTATGTAACCCATCGAGGCACTGCACAATTAGTTGGAGGTTTGATGCAAATAAGTAGTACTTGGGAATAAATTTTTAACTTTCCGTGTAAAATGATTCACACTATTAAGTGACGAGAGATACTCGGGATGGATTTTACATTATTTTCTGCATCAGAGAAAATAATTTCTCCACATCACCATTTAAAACACCTTAATTGGATTGCCCCTCATTCACCTAAGTTCAAGGGAATCTGAGCTAAGTTGTCGTATTAATTTAGCTCCCTGTATCATTTCCAAATCTACATAGCAGCTCCATCAGAGACTACATGTGTTTACTGAGATGTGATGATTCACATTGAGCATGCTACTGCAGATAGGGTTTAACTAGACCCCCAATGCATTGCTTCCTCCATGTTGCACCCTAGATCCCTTTTAAGATAAAGGCTAACAATCTGTTCTTCTCCTCGAGTTCCCTGCCTAAAGGCTGACCCAACCTGATCTCCACCATGGCTAGAGCAAGGAGGTAGATTGCCAAACCACCCTTACCAGAATAGTGATTGAACCCCATACTGTTGGCATCGATCTAACGTAGACTTCAAGGCATACAGCCTTGTTGCTCTGATGACCTTACATCTTTGCCTGGCACTATAGCTGGTGTTAGTAGAGGCTCCAATTTTCCGATCATCACATGGCTGTCAGGAATCTTTCCCACTCTAACCACGTGTCACAGCGAGTCAATTGTGCTCAACCAGCCTATCCTTGCAAACCTCAGAAAACCATGTTCAACATTAGATGTCATTCTGCCAATAGACACCTTTGACTAAATAATCCTACTTGCGCTAGGAACTACATTGGAAGGCAATTTAAGTTGATCAGTCAGGCTCACAGTGTGGGTTTTTTTTTGCATGTGCCAGAAGTTACATATGTTAATACACGGAACCCTTTTCTTTGTAGGCAAAAATAATTTGTCTGTATATTGTACCTTTCTCAATGAGAAAAGGGCCATGGAGACTGTCAATCCAGCTACATTCTTCATGGCAACACTAGGACCAATCAGAATCTACTGTTTTTTTACCATCTAAGATTGACAGTTAACAGTTCTGCTACAATTGCATAGTAACCATGGTCCAATCAATAAGCACCCTCTTCTCATGTTGTATAAACTGGTGCTCCCTTTCCAAGCTGAGTTTCTTGTGTTTCAGACCTGGGGAGTGCAAGCTGAACAGCTTTGAGTTGGGGTTGCTTTTTGACATGTTTAATTTTTAGGATGTTATCATTGATCTTAACCAATGGGAGGAGGTATTTTGTTGTGTGAGCTGGTTGACAGAGGATCTGAAGTGATTATCCAGTCAGTGCCACCTTCCAACTATAGACAATCAACCACAATGTATATGAATAACATTACTGTTGAGCAGTGACCAAAGCTATCGGTGGTGCACTCTAGATGTTTGCTGAATCAACTGGTTTGGAGATGTTAGGGCACACTTCTGGAGCAGGTGGCACTTGACTCCCAGCCTCCTGGCTCAGAGGTAGGGACTCTACCACTACACCACCAGGGCCCTCTGTGTTGCACTCTATTATCAAATCAGGGTAGAAGTCCCATTCCATCATGCTAAAAGTGAACAGTACTTCAAAGAAAAGCAGAGAACTGGGGTTCTGGAAAACATTTATCCTTAGAACACCATAATTAGAACAATTTGTGTAGTCAAAAGACAGCAAAAGAGAAGTACAGCACAGGAACGGGCCCTTCAGCCCTCCAAGCCTGTGTCGATCATCATGCCCTGACTAAACTGAAAAACAAGCCTTCTGCCCTTTTTCGGTCCATATCCCTCTATTCCCTCCCTATTCATGTAACCATCGAGGTGACTCTTAAATGTCGCCAACATGCCAGCTTCCATCACCACCTCTGGCAGTGCATTCCAGGCTCCTACCGCTCTCTGTGTGAAAACCTTCCCTTGCACATCTCCCTTAAACTTTCCCCCTTTCACCTTGAACCTGTGCTCCCTTGTAATTGATACTTCAACCCTGGGAAAAAGCCTCTATCTATCCACCCTACTATGCCTCTCATAATTTTGTAGACCTCTATCAGGTCTCCTGTCAGTCACTGTCTTTCCAGTGAAAACAATCTTAGTCTTTTTAACCTTTCCTCATAGCCAATGCCCTTGAGACTAAGCAACATCCTGGTGAACCTTCTCTGCACTCTCTCCAAAGCTTCCACGTCTTTCTGGTAATGTGGTGACCAAAACTGCACACAATACTCCAAATGTGGCCTAATGAAGGTTTTATATAGCTAAAACATTGTTTGCCAACTCTTGTACTCCATGCCTCGGCTGATAAAGGCAAGCGTGCCATACGACTTCTTAATTTTAATATGCCTTCTTGACTATTACTTTAGTACTGCTCGAGAAAATTGTATGCAAATAGGGTGCTTCATTTCCTGTATTGCAACAGTGAATACACTTCCAGAGTGTTTCATTGGCTGTAAAGCACTTTGGAATGTTGTATGATTGTGAAAGATGCTATGTAAATGCAGCTCTATATTGTGTATGGTCAGGTCAGATATTGGACACTGTTTTGTTTTGGGTATTTGAGGTACAAGGAAACATTGATATATTAAAGGTGAAGGATTGAAGGACCACAGGTTCTCAGTGGAAGGATTCACTAACACCACCTCTCTCCACCTACACCAACCCAACCCCAACCCCCCCACCGCCACACAAACACACACACACACACACACACCTGATTCATCCCTTACACATTAATTAATAATCTTGAAATGACATTAATTCAGATTCTTCAAAGTGCGTCAGAGCTCGTTCACTTGCTCATAATAGCATGCTTTAATTTCAGCTGAATAAATCTGGATTATTAAGACTAGAATTTTGTGAAGGCTGTTGTGGCACAGTGGTAATGTTCCTACCTCTGAGCCAAAAGGCCTTGGTTTAAGACCCTCTGCACTAGAGGTGTGTAATAGCACCCCTCAGCAGGCTGTTTAGAAAATACCTGGGAGATTGGTGAGGAGAGTTCTTGATGACCAGTTTTAAACAAGTAACATTTTTGATTCTGTTTTAAAATTAACTCTGAAACAGGGTCAGGTGGAAGCTGAAATTGAAGAGCTGGATTTTGACAGATACAGCATTTTTCGTCCTGGGTAAAGTCAATTTCCTTTGTTTATAATGCTAATTTGTGCTTCTTTTCTAATTTAATTTGTCATTTCTTTTTAATTCCATGAAATGAACAGTAAGAATGTGAGATAAAAACAGAAATTGCTGTGAAAGCTCAGTTGGTCTGGTAGCTCCTGTGGAGAGAAATCGGAGTTAACATTTCAGGTCGAGTGACCCTTCCTCAGAACTTATTTAATAAGAAGATGAGCCTGAGTAAATAGGTGCTTGGTTTTTAATGATGGTTCTGATACTTGTGTACTCTCTAATATTTCTGCGTTGTTGCTAATTTTTTTTCGAACCTTAACTTTGAAACAGAGTTCTGATGTGTGACAGAGAAGAATCGAGACCCATGGAATGGATGGCAAGGAAACTTCTTATTCCTGTGGCTTACGTGTTTCCAACTGCAATAACAACCCCTGTGTCGGTGTTGGTAATGGCCATGATGAACAACGTCGTACTTCCAGCTGACAAGAAAATGGAATTGTTTCAGAATAAACACATCCATGAGCTTAGTAAACTTGGAGAAACTAAGGCCAAGTAGCATTATCCAAAGTTGACTTTCCAAGTACATACTGTTTTCCTTGGCCTTCATTTACCCTTGAATTGGTTTAATCCTTCTTCTTACTGGTGTTCTATTATCACATTAACAGTTATTTTGAGGACTGCTTTAAAAGGACATGTTTTGTTGAAGTTTTGAATTGATATTCTTGCAAATTGTCCTGAAGTATGCAAGCTTCAACAAATTGTGTCTTTCTTCGGCAACAACAGCTGTCTCTTCATGGTGCTGCACAGGACAGGGTCTGTTTGGTTTCTGTTTTTTGGGAGGCGTCTGGTTTGGGATTGGTTAAGTTGAAATTTGATGAAGATGGACCACAAATAAAAAATCTCCCGCAGCATGTTATGATCCCAGACTAGATCACCAGCTTTATATTACAATCTAGGGACCAGTGACTTTATTTTAAAGTAGACAATGTGTTGGATCCCATGTACTATACTTAGGCAGTAAAGCCATGAGATTCCAAGGTTTTGAACAAACAAAAAGAAATTTTACGACAGCAAAATAAGTACAAATAACATTCTAACATCTGTAATTAACAGGAGATGAATGGTGAAGTCAGACAAACTGATATCTAACCCCCTACAGATCATATCAGATAGCAAAGTGGTCAAGACAAGTTCCACACATTTTTCACCAAACACCCCACCCCAGACATTAGTTACACTGTGGGTCATCAAATCTCTTTAAAACTTCACAAAGGATTCCAATTCTTCACTTTTTGAAGATTTGACTTGAAACTCACTGGAAAACCGTACTGTCATGGAATGTCTGAAAAGTCTGTTCATTTCCTGGTAGTTGAGCTTCTTTTCTTGGCACTGTGGCTCCCTGGATTCCTGAAACTGTGCTCTGCTGCCTACTCATTGGCACAATTTCAGCTTGTCCACAGAGGGCTAGCGCCACCAAGCTGGTAATGCCACCAAGCTGCACCAAGCAAAGGCTGCTTGTGGGTTTCCTTTGCCTCCACTCCTAGCTGTATTGAACTATTAATGGCTGGACAGTTCTCCTAAGCTTCCACCACTCCTGTGGCATTTTCTGAGCCCTAATCCAAAGCACTTTGCTGCACCTTAATGGCTTCCGGTGTGTCTCAGATCCCAAACTGAATGGTCCTATCACAGCTCCTGGTGTTCCTTCTTGAGCCTAACCACACAGAATCGGTGAACTTCCATCGTCTTCTCAACAGCACTGTTAACAAAAGCACTTTTCCTGTGAAATAGCTGACTCTTTCTAACTAGCTGACTCAAATTGATTCTGACCCTTGAACTGCACTGAGTGCCCTATTGAAAACTTTGCAACAACCCCCACTCTCGTCCCTAGATAGGATTGAATGTAGCAACCGCTACTTGTTGAAAATAATAACAATTGGAATACCCCATTCCCAGAACATTACAATATTCATGCATTGCTGGCTTACACAATACAGTTGGAAACCACAAAAAAGATTCCATCACAACAGTCTGATAGTCAGCTCAATTTCTATTACCTTAACCTCTATATTGTCTTATTCACTTTCCACTCTGTTCAGAACCTTCAACCTGAGTGGACTTTGATTTTTGTTCTGTACTGTATTAATTAGCAAACAAAAATTGTAATGGTTTTGTTTCATTTTATACATATAATTTGTAGGGATCTGTAATCACTTTGGAGACAATGTAGTGTTTTTATCCATTGTGGAGACATTTTTCTAAAGTTTGCACTGATCGTATCATTATTTCACTAAATTATTGTTTTTGCCACGGGCCTTAATCTGTAGCTGTCTCATCCCTGAAAGTGACGAAAATGCACTGTAGTGAGTCACGCATATCTCAGGTTTTAGAACTTTTTTTGACTTTGTAATACCTTGTAAGTACCATACCAAGCACACTACAAAAACCCAGACTGCTTCCAGGGCAGTACTGGTCGATAAATTTAAACACACTTCTAATTTTAAAATGTGTGGTATTTCTTTCATTGAGCCAAAGTGCGAAATTGGATCAAACTTGGCCTGCAAGTGCATGTGGAGTTTTGACTGTGTTTCATGAGGTGATGTGATTGGGGGTTAAAAAGAGAGAAGTGGTAGTAACCAAATCTCTCACTCTCTCCAGAAACCTATGACTATCATTCAACACCCGTTTTGCAAGAAATCATGCAATAAAATATCTAGAAGCCAATGCAGGATTCTGTAATAGTGGTTATCGTTGTGAAATCTCTTCTGTCTCAGTGTTGTCATGTGTCAAATATTCAACGTGCTTCAGCTGGTAGTTGTAGAAATTACTGTTCTCTTATTTTGCCTTGCGCTGTTATAGCTTTGAGTTTATTTTTCAATGATTAGTTTGTAGCTTATGTATGTCTAATGATCAGACAAGGAATGTATTAATATTATTTTCAGTTTAATTGTGGTTAATATAAGACACTGTTAGCCTTTGTCTGTTGTTGTGCTCCTGGTGAAATTGTATGTCCCCAGGCTGACATAAATGCAGTGATGGAGGAGACTTAGTTTTCATAACCACTTTAAATGTAAAAATGCTTTTGAAGCTTTAGTTTGAGAATGTGAGATTTTTTTTCAGTATTAGTTGGCTTCGCTTGTATCTAAGGATGCTTTAAAGGGAATTGGTTACTGTCTTTTATCCACACAACTGACTTCGATACATATTTTACTTTGGAATTATGTTTTGCAATTTTTAGTGTAATAATTTCTTATAAAAAAATCTAGGTTATGGAGGTTTATTAAAATATTAAGGTTTGTTTCTTGACAAAGTGAACCCTGTCTCTGGAGAACATGAGGCATTGTTATCTTTACAAAGTTAAATTGGTACAGACTTTAACAGTTCCTGTGGGTTCACAAGTAAAAGAAAGTTATTTTGAGTAAAGTGTATTGATAGACTCTGGAACTCTTCAGAACATTTCAATGTATAAGTTAGACTCTAACAACAATATTATTCGTGAAGATCAACAGTACTTATTTTCTCAGCAGACCCAAATTACTGTGGTGGCACCTCATTATCTTGGTGCAGAGTTATAAACTTGTAACTTACAGAGAAAAGGTGATCCCACAAGTGACTGATTTCTTAGGAAACCAGTCAGGTGATAACAGGAAACGACATTAGTAAGGCCACTCATCTTTCGAGACCAATCCTTGACGAGCGTGCATGGTCTAGCCAATTTGAGGATAATCATGTGCTGTTTCTGCATTGTTTCCTTTTATTCTCTTGTGGGGTGTGGGTATAGCTGCTCAGACCAGCACTTACTGCCCATTCCTAGTTACCCTCGAGAAGTAGGCGGTGGTGAGCTGCCTTCTTCAACCACTGCAGTCCATGTGCTGTAGGTAAACTCACAATGCTGTAAGGGATTTTGATCCAGCCACACTGACGGAATGGCGATTATATTTCCACGTTATGATGATCAGTGGTTTGGAGGGGCGCTTGCCGGTGGTAAAAACCGAAAGAACTGCGGATGCTGTAAATCAGGAAGAAAAGCAGAAGTTGCTGGAAAAGCTCAGCAGGTCTGGCAGCATCTGTGAAGAAAAATCAGAGTTAATATTTCTGGTCCAGTGACCCTTCCTCAGAATGGATGGTGTTCCCATTCTGCAAGCCGTTTGGAGCTCAGAGATACCACTGCCCGAGCACGGATAGGAAGGGCTAATAAGCTGTAACCTCACAGTCTATGGATAAAAAGTAGGCCATTTAGAACTGAGATGAGAAGATTTTTCACCCAGAGTATGGTGAGCCTGTGGAATTCTCTGCCACAGAAAATGGTTGAGGCCCAAACATTTAATGTTTCCAGGAAGGAGTTAGTTATAGTTCTTAGAGCTAAAGGGATCAAAGGGCATGGGGTGAAAGTGAGAACAGAGGACTGTGTTGGATGATCAGCCAAGATCATATTGAATGGTGGAAGGGCTGAATGGCCTACTCCTGTTCCTATTTTCTTTGATTTTATGTTTAGCATTTAGGTGCACAGTAAAAGGCCAGAATAAGAAAATAACCAAAACACTGTGGATGCTCAAGACCTGAAATAAAGACAAAATTATAGAAAAATTCAGCAGGTCCGTGGAGAGAGAAACAGCTTCAAGTCCGGTACGACTTTTCTTTGGAACTGAAGTGAGAGATGGCAAAGTGATGAAGTTTTTATGTAGAAATATTTGGGAAGCTATAAGCAGAGCAGAAGGAAAGGTTAGGACCCTTTTACCTGACTTCCCCTCCATCTGGACCCCACTTCTGTCTTTTTACCTATTCTTGATCCTTTCATCAAGAACTGTCAGTAAGTTGTTGCTGACCTCAATTTCTCTGCTCCCCTGACCCACTTCAACCTGTCTCCCTCTGAATTTACTGCATTCTGTTCTCTTAAGACTTTCTCATTAAATGTTCTGACAAGGCTGATGCTATTATTATCTGATGTACTCATCAGATACTCATCAGGCTAATTGCTAACTCTTTTATCCTCCCCCATATCTCCTGCTGGATCATGACCTAACCACTGAACATCAAGCTGTTGTTTTTAGGACTGTCATTGACCTTGTCTCCTCTAGAGTCTTTATCTCTTCATAGTCCCCCAGCCTCAAATAGCAGCTTTCTGTGTTCTTCCCAAAATCCACAAACAGGGTTACCCTGGTAGACCCATCATTTAGAGTGAATCACTGAACTTATTTCTTCCTATCTTGATTCTGCTTATTTCTTCTCCTGTCTTACATTCATGATTCTTAGTCATTTTAACAATTTCCTGTTTGCAGCCCTTGATCATCTCTATGAACGTCCAATCCCTGTACACCTCCATCCCACCCCCCATCCCCCCATTAGGACAATCTGATGGCTGTCTATATCATCCTACAAGGGATGCCTAAACAGTCCCCATCCTTCATTCCCTCTGTCATCTGGCTGAGTTTGTTCTCTCACCTTTAACTCATCTTGCTTCCTCCAAATCAAACCCGTATGGCCTGCCTTCTCATGGGGTATTTGGAATATGCCTGTTGCAGTGTTACTGGGGTACCCACAATTCTTTTTTACAGTACATCACTGACTGTATCAATGCCTTTTGCTGCTCCTATCTGGAACTGGACATTTCATCAATGTTACATGCAACGTTTACCTTTCTGTCACTCTCACCTAGCCAGTCTCCGCCTCCACACAGCCATGATTTCTCTGTATCAGTTTCTGAGGGTGGGTTGACTACTAATATTCTTTACAAGCCTAATGACCCCCACCATTGCTTTAACTGTACTTCTTCAAACTGAACTTTGTGTAAGGACTCCATTCTGTTTTCCCAGTTAGTTTATCTCTGACTAATCTGTTCCAGTGATGCCACCTTCCACGCAGGGTGCTTCTGACATGTCTTCCTACCTTCTTCACTTAACACCTTCACCCCCCACCACCTCCCTCCCTGGCAATGTGGTTGACAGGCCCTCAACCCTGTTCAACCCATTTCCTGCACTTTGGCACTCACCCTCTAACTATTCCTTCCAAAATCACAATACGGTTCCTTCTGTCCTCATATTTCACGTCATCGGCCTTATTCATAGGAACATCCCCCACCATTTCTGTCAACACAAGCATTCCAAAGGAGTTGATTTATTCTGTGCCTGGCCTACGCCTCCATCACCCCAACTCCTTTCCCCTCCCAAGGCTCCTTCCCAAGCAACATTTGTCCTTTTATTTCCTGGCTATCCTAAATACTACTTCCAGGTGAAGCAGCGGCAAATTACTTGCACTTGTTTCAATCCAGCGTATTCACTTCACCGTTCACAATGCAGTCTCCTCGACCTTGGGGAGACCAAATGCAGGTTGGGTGACTACTTTATGGAAAACCTCTGCTGTGTCTTTAACAATAGCCATGACCCTCTAGCTGGTTGCCATTTCAATACACCATCTTGTTCTGATGCTGACCTTTCTGCCCATGGCCTGTTGTAGGGCTCCAGTGAAGCTCAATGCCAGCTGGAGAAACAACACTTCATTTTCAATGTTGGCACTTTACAGCCTGCACGACTCAACGTTGAGTTCAACGATTTCAGAGCATGGCCTCTGTTCTCCATTTTGATAATTGTCCCCCCTCAAATATTTCACACCTTTCCTTCAGTCAGCACTGATCTATATTCTGCTATTAATATCTATTCTGGCTCTATACCCTTCCTCTCCACTAGCATTCCTTTTGCTTTTCAATCTGTGACACTTCTGGTCTCTAATCTACTTTGCCCTATAACCTTTCCCTTCTGTTTCACTTGCTCCTCCCTAACTTTTGGAACAGCATTGCCTTTGTGCCAAGAAAAGTCATAGTGAACTCAAAATGTTATCTCTGTTTCTCTCTCCACACATGCTGCCAGACCTGCTCAGTTCTCCAAACATAATTAGAACATCAGTCAACAGAGCAAGACAACACATACAGTCAGATAAAAACCGAAATAACTGTTGATGCAGTAAATCAGAAACAAAAACGGAAATTGCCGGAAAAGTTCAGCAGATCTGGCAGTATCTGTGAAGAGAAATCGGAGTTAACATTTTGAGTCTGGTGACCCCTCCTCAGAATGCGTACCGTCAACCTGAAGTTTAGAACAAGTGTTTCAGAGTGAAGCGACTGATTCATGTTTATATTAATTAACGCTGTTGTGTGTTTTTTGTGATAAATGTAATATATTCTGTGAAGTCTGAAACTGCATGTTTGAACTTGGGGTGTTCTTGACGTTAGTTAGGGCTGAAAGACCTTTATATTGACTCTTTAATTCAGTCTGTAATCATAATTGACTTCAGTCTTAATTGAAAGTTCAATAAAATCCTAAGGTTTTCGTGCAATCAGCTAGGTCATAGTTAGAGTTGTGCAGCGTGGAAACAGACCCTTATTTCCAACTTGTCCACACTGACCAGATGCCATAAATCAATTTAGTCCCATTTGCCAGCATTTGGCCCATTTCCCTCTAAACCCTTCTTATTCATATACCCATCTAGATGCCTTTTAAATGTTGTAATTGTACCAGCCTCCACCACTTCCTCTGGCAGCTCATTCCATACACACACCACCCTCTGCGTGAAAAAGTTGCCTTTTAGGTATCAAATGTCAGGAGCAGAATTGACAATTCCCGCTTCTTGTTCTTATAACCTAATGTTTTAAAGTTTGCACTGTATAACAATTATTTTACACTGTTTACATTGTTATAAAGCGGAGGTTGACCTTCCTCTGAGAACTAAAACTGAAACACCCAAAG